ACCCCACACTGATAGTTCAAATTTTTGGGCATGTATGCGTCTAGTGATCGGTAGAGTTAAATAGGCACAGCCTGCGCCAATCATACCAGGTGACTGCTGGACGTATAGTATCTCTAGGGCCTAATGACGAAGGTAAAACAATCATAAAAATAACGCCAAACTGCCCACAGGGGCTAGCCTTCGGTTTTTGTGCTGTTATCAGGCCCGATGGATAGTCCTCTGGCAGCGGGGTCCATCATCTCCAGTTTTAGCGTACCTTCGAAACACTTAGCCCAACCTTCACTAACCTATAAGAGCACTGACCACATAGATGCCCAGGGAACACTGATCTCTGTGGCGCTGGAGGTGTCGCGTCGTCAATGGCGTAGTTGGACGACCCGATCAGATATCCGTCTGTTGGGCTAGATTGTTACGGACTAGGATTTTCACAATTATGTGGGGCGATAGTAGATCTTGATCGTAGAGACATTCTTTGCCGGCGCATCACATATTTCTGTTATCCGCCGCAGGACCTCATGATGGACGGCATCAAACGCAACGGTGAAGTCAAACAGGTGGACGGCCACCGGTTTCTTGTAATCATAACGGAATTCGAGAATGTGCCTCAGTATGAATATCTGACCACGTATCCATTCCTAGCTCAGCATCCGACGAAGCTGGGCCTCATGTTAGAGCCTGCAATCGTCTGAGAGGGACAACAGCGAAGACCATCACAGCAAGGTCGATGCGTCTTATGCCGAGGTGGTTCTTGATTTTTTCTTATCTCAGTTCTTGAAGACGACACAAGGATGTATTACTTCCGTTCTGGAGTCACGCCTCTCTCGTTTGTTCAATTATCTCAATCAGCCAGGACGCTAGGGTGGACACAAGACCTGTAGATTTAGGTGAGTCTGCCGTACTTTCCGGTTGCCTTGTTGTCGCGCAGCCTTTGCATGACAATGAGCAATAACACTTCAAAGGTTGAAGGGAAACAAGAATCACTTGTAGAGGAGAACGAGTGTGGTGGGTTGAATATTAAGCTGAGCTGGTTGAAGTGTTTATATCCTCTTGCCCCCTTAATCAAATTGGTAGAAGTAAAGCCATCATTAACGTCCCGAACTGTCACTTAGCACAGGCGTCTCACCACTAACTTAATTGATAAGTTCGCTATTGTTTGAGACCTGTTCCATGGGGGGTCGCTATTTCAGTCTAATATTCCTTCCGGTCATCCCTAGGCGTCATTTTCGCCTGCTT